CAAGGACTGGAGGGGACACACAAAGGACTCAGGAGGGGACACAAAGGACCAGAGGGGACAAGGACTCAGAGGGAAAGGACCCAGGGGGACAAGGACTCAGAGGGGGGCAAAAGGACCAAGAAGGCAAGGACTGGAGGGCAGGACAGGAGGAACAAAGGACTAAGGAGGGGACACAAGGACCAAGGAGGGGACAGGACCAGGAGGACACAAAGGACCCAGGAGGGGACACAAAGGACCCAGGAGGACAGCACAAAGGACTCAAGAGGGGGACACAGGACCAGAGGGACACAAAGGACCCAGGAGGGGACAAAGGACTACAGAAGAAGGACCAAGGAGGCAAAGGACTCAGGGGGGAGCACCAGGAGGGGACAAAGGACTGCAGGAAGGCCAAGGACAGAGGAAGGACCAAGGAGGAACAAATACCAGAGGGGACACAAAGGACTAAGAAGGCACCAAGGACTAAGAGGGGAACAAAGGACCAAGGAGGGGACACAATGACCAGAGGGGACACAAAGGACCAAGGAGGGGGACAAAGACTCAGGAGGGGACACAAGGGACCCAGGAGGGGACAAAGGACTGGGGAGGAGGAATAAGGACCAGGAGGGGACAAGGACCAAGAAGGCACACCAAGGACCCAGGAGAGGGACACAAAGGACCAAGAAGGCACAACAGGACCCAGGAGGGACACAAGACCAAGAAGGGACACAAAGGACCAAGAAGGGGACACAAAGGACCCAGAGGGACAAACACAAAGCACAGACTCAGGAGGACAAAAGGACCAAGGAGGGGACAGACCCAAGGAGGGGGACAAGGACTCAGGAGGGGGGACAAGGACCAAGAACACAAGGACCCAAGGAGGGACACAAAGGACTCAGGAGGGGACACAAAGGACTAAGGAGGGGACACTAAGGACCAAGGGGGAGGGACACACAAGGACTAAGGAGGGGACACAAAGGACTAAGGAGGGGGACACAAAGGACTCAAGGAGGGGGGACAAAGGGAGACTAAGGAGGGGACACAAAGGACTCAGGAGGGGGACACAAAGGACCAAGGAGGGGACACAAAGGACTAAGGGAGGGACACAAAGGACCAGAGGGGACACAAAGGACTCAGGAGGGACACAAAGGACTCAAGGAGGGGACACAAAGGACTCAGAGGGGACACAAAGGACTAAGAAGGGGACACTAGGACCAAGGAGGGCCAAAGGACTCAAGGAGGGGGACACAAAGGACTCAGGAGGAACACAAAGGACTCCAGGAGGGGACACAAAGGACTAAGGAGGGGACACAAAGACTAAGGAGGGGGACACAGACTAAGAAGGGGTACACTAAGGACTAGGAAGGGTAGACCAAGGAGGGACAAAAGGACCAAGGAGGGGGACAAAGGACCAAGGAGGGGACACAAAGACCAAGGAGGGGACACAAAGGACCAGGAGGGACACAAAGGACTAAGAAGGGGACACTAAGGACTAAGGAGGGACACAAAGGACTAAGGAGGGGGACACAAAGGACTCAGGAGGGGACACGAGGACTCAGGAGGGGACACAAGGACTCAGGAGGGACACCAAGGACTAAGGAGGGGACACAAAGGACCAAGGAGGGGGACACAAAGACCAGGAGGGACACAACGGAGGGGCAAAGGACCGGAGGGGGGACACAAAGGACTCAGGAGGGGGACACGAAGGACCAAGGAGGGGACACAAAGGACTAAGGAGGGACACTAGGACCAAGGAGGGGACACTAAGGACTCAGGAGGGGACACAAAGGACTCAGGAGGGGACAAAGGACCAAGAAGGGGGACACAAAGGACTCAGGAGGGGGATACAGGACTGGAGGGGGACATAAAGGACTCAGGAGGGGGACACAAAGGACTAAGAAGGGGACACTAAGGACCAAGGAGGGACACAAAGGACTCAGAGGGGACACAAAGGACTCAGGAGGGGGACACAAAGGACCCAGGAGGGGACACAAAGGACTCAGGAGGGGACACAAAGGACCCAGGAGGGGGACACAAAGGACCAGGAGGGGACAAAGGACCAAGAAGGGGACACTAAGGACCAAGGAGGGGACACAAAGGACCCAGGAGGGTGACACAGGACCCAGGAGGGGACACAAAGGACTAAGAAGGGACACCAAGACCAAGGAGGGGACACAAGGACTAAGGAGGGGGACACAAAGGACTCAGGAGGGGGACAAGGACTAAGAAGGGCACACTAAGGACTAAGGAGGACACAAAGGACCAAGGAGGGGGACACAAAGGACCAGGAGGGGACACAAAGGACCAAGGAGGGGGACACAAAGGACTCCAGGAGGGACACAAAGGACTCAGGAGGGGGACACAAAGGACCAGGAGGGGACACAAAGGACTAAGGAGGGGACACAAAGGACTAAGGAGGGGACACAAAGGACCAAGGAGGGGGACAAAGGACTAAGAAGGGCACACTAAGGACTCAGGAGGGGACACAAAGGACTAAGAAGGGGCACACTAAGGACTCAGGAGGGGACACAAAGGACCAAGAAGGGGTACACAAAGGACTAAGAAGGGGCACACTAAGGACTCAGGAGGGGACACAAAGGACCAAGAAGGGACACTAAGGACTCAGAGGACACAAAGGACTAAGGAGAGGGACACAAAGGACTCAGGAGGGACACAAAGGACTCAGAGGGGGACACAAAGGACCAGGAGGACACAAAGGACCAAGAAGGGCACACTAAGGACCAAGGAGGGGACACAAAGGACCAAGGAGGGGACACAAAGGACTAAGGAGGGGGACACAAAGGACTAAGGGAGGGGACACAAAGGACCCAGGAGGGGACAGGACTCAGGAGGACACAAAGACCAAGAAGGGACACTAAGGACTAAGGAGGGACACAAGGACTAAGGGAGGGACACAAAGGACTAAGGAGGGGACACAAAGGACTAAGGAGGGGGACACAAAGGACCAAGGAGGGGACACAAAACTCAGGAGGGGGACACAAAGGACTAAGGAGGGGACACAAAGGACAAAGGAGGGACACAAAGGACTCAGGAGGGGACACAAAGGACTCAGAGGGACACAAAGGACTCAGGAGGGGACACAAAGACCAAGAAGGGGCACACTGGAGCACCAAGGAGGGACACAAAGGACTGAGGGAGGACACAAGGACCGGAGGGGACACAAAGGACTCAGGAGGGGACAAAGGACTCAGAGGGGACACAAAGGACTAAGGAGGGGACACAAAGGACTAAGGAGGGACACAAAGGACCAAGAAGGGTACACTAAGGACCAGAAGGGGAGACTAAGGAGGGACACAAAGGACCAAGGGAGGGGACACAAAGGACCAAGGAGGGGGACACAAGGACTAAGAGGGGCCAGACTCAGGGGGACACAAAGGACTAAGAAGGGACACAAGGACCAAGGAGGGACACAAATGAAGGAGGGGACACAAAGGACCAGAGGACACAAAGGACCAGGAGGGCACACTAAGGACCAAGGAGGGGACACAAGACCAAGGAGGGGACAACAGGACTAAGGAGGGACACGAAGGACCAGAGGGGGACACGAAGGACTCCAGGAGGGGGAAGGCCAGGAGGGGACACGAAGACCCAGAGGGACACGAAGGACCAAGGAGGGAGGGCCAAAGGCCAAGGAGGGGACACAAAGGACTAAGGAGGGGACAAAGGACCAAGGAGGGGGACACAAAGACTCAGGAGGGGGACACAAAGGACTCAGGAGGGGGACACAAAGGACTCAGGAGGGGGGACACAAGGACTCAGGAGGGGACACAAAGGACCAGGAGGGGACACAAAGGACCGGAGGGACACAAAGGACCAAGGAGGGGACACAAAGCACTGAGGAGGGGCACAAAGGACCCAGGAGGGGACACAAAGGACTCAGGAGGGGACAAAAGGACTCAGGAGGGGACAAAAGGGACCAAGGAGGGGACAAAAGGACCAAGGAGGGGACACAAAGGACCAAGGAGGGGACACAAAAGACCACAGGAGGGACACAAAGACCCAGAGGGGACACAAAGGACTCAGGAGGGGGACACAAAGGACTCAGGAGGGGGACACAAAGGACTCAGGAGGGGACACAAAGGACCAGGAGGGGACACAAAGGACCCAGAGAGGGGGACAAAGGACTCAGGAGGGGGGACACAAAGGACTCAGGGGACACTACAACCAGAGGGGGACACAAAGGACCAAGGAGGGGACACAAAGGACCAAGGAGGGACGGACAAAGGACCAAGGAGGGGACACAAAGGACCAAGGAGGGACACAAAGGACTAAGGAGGGACACAAAGGACTCAGGAGGGGGACACAGAGGACCAGGAGGGGGACACAAAGGACCTAAGGAGGGGACACAAAGGACTCAGGAGGGGGGACACAAAGGACAAGGAGGGGACACAAAGGACCAAGGAGGGGCACACAAAGGACCAAGGAGGGGGGACACAGGACTCAGGAGGGGGACACAAAGACTCAGAGGGGGACACAAAGGACCAAGGAGGGGGACACAAAGGACTAAGGAGGGGGACACAAAGACTAAGGAGGGGGACACAAAGGACTCAGGAGGGGACACAAGACTCAGGGAGGGGACACGAAGGACTAAGGAGGGGACACAAAGGACTAAGGAGGGGACACAGACCAAGGAGGGGGACACAAAGGACCCAGAGGGGGGGACACAGGACCAGGAGGGGGGGACACAAAGGACTCAGGAGGGGGACACTAAGGAGGGACACAAGGACCAAGGAGGGGACACAAAGGACTCAGGAGGGGGACACAAAGGACTCAGGAGGGGACACAAAGGACAAGGAGGGGGGAAGCAAGGGACTAAGGAGGGACACAAAGGACTAAGGAGGGGACACAAAGGACCAAGGAGGGGACACAAAGGACACAAGGAGGGGACACAAGGGACTAAGGAGGGGACACACAAAGGACAAGGAGGGGACAAAGGACCAGGAGGGGACACAGGACTAAGGGGGGACACAAAGGACTAAGGAGGGGGACACACAGGACTAAGGAGGGGACACACAGGACAAAAGGACCAAGGAGGGACACAAAGGACTAAGAAGAGGGGGACACAAAGGACTAGGGAGGGGGACACAAAGGACCAAGGACGGGGACACACAGGACTAAGGACGGGGACACACAGGACTAAGGAGGGGACACAGGACCAAGGAGGGGGACCACAGGACTAAGGACGGGACACACAGGACTAAGGAGGGGGACACAAAGGACTAATGTAGTGATGGGTTGTCAGACCACAGCTTACATCGCAAGGAAAGCCAGACTTGACCCGACATGAGGGGGGTCAAGTGTAAGGGTATCCCCCGCGGGTGCTCAAGGGTGTTACAAATCAACTAGCTCCCCTTCCCATGTCACACGGCCAACAAACATGTAAGAAGGCACCAGCCGACTCTCTCCCAATATACACAATATCCTACACCGCAGAGGAAGGCCAGACTTGACCCGACATTAGGGGGGGTCAAGTGTAGGGTAACTCTCACGGTTGACCAAGGGTTATAAATCAGCCAGGCTCCCCTCCCATGTGACATGGCACCACAACAAACATGTAAGAAGGCACCAGCCGACTCTCTCCCAATATACAATAACCTACATTGCAGAGAGAGTCCAGACCTGACCTCACATTAGCCAGGTCAAATGTAACCCTCGAGCTCAAGTTAAGAGGCCACAAATCAACCAGGGCCTCTCATGTCACACGGCCCCACCTGATGACTTTTCCAGAAGATACAACTTAGTCTCTGAAAAAGTCCAGACCTGACCCTACATTAGCGAGGGCAAAGGTAAGGGGACCCTTCCCCCCCCCCCTGTTCAGCTCAACCTGACGGCTGGTCTTCCAATGTATAGGACGTCCGAGCCCTCCCTCAGAGAGTTGTCTTGTGACCAGGAAGGGCCAGCTACCACGTCCCCAGTCCCGCTCAAGAGAAGCCCGCCACTAAGTGTAACGAAGTCTCAGCCGGGTCCATCGACAGAGTGCTGTCAACTCCACGTGTAACAGTAAGTGCTGGCTGTGTAGACTGTAGAAGTGCAGTGATCCCGAACCTCCCCAACGATCGACTTAGTGAAGTGCCCATTCTAATTGTGAGGTTAGGTTATACGAGAATACCAGTCTATCATAAATTGTGTACGAACCCCCCCATTAATCCCCCCGATTGAACTAGTAAAATAAAGCTGTAACACGCATTGGTGTTTTATATACTACACTTGTACTGTGCCTGTGTTAATATACAGTGTTGACATCACACCCTTGAGACACGCTACCATTTCCTCTCGCTATAATACTCTACTACTTTAAACTCCTAACTTACCTCTTCATGTGAGATTTTGTCTCATTACACTAAGGAGGGGAACACAAAGGACTAAGGAGGGGGACACAAAGGACTAGGGAGGGGGACACAAAGGACTAAGGAGGAGGACATTAAGGACTAAGGGGAGGGACTAAGGAGGGGGACACAAAGGACTAAGGAGGGGGACACAGGGACTAGGAGGAGGACGTGGGACTGGGGGAGGGACTGAGGAGGGGGACACAAGGACTAGGGGAGGCACAAAGGACTAGGGGAGGGGGACACAAAGGACCCCAGGAGGAGGACGTGGGATTCAGGGGGACACTAGGAGGGGGACACAGGACTAGGGAGGGAGACACAAAGACTAGGAGGGACACTAGGAGGGGGACACTGAGACTATGGAGGACATGAACTGGGGAGGGGGACAAGGGTGGGATGGGGACACAGGACTGGGGAGGGGGACACTGGGACTGGGAGGGGACCCTACCGGGGAGGACTAGGGGAGGCTACCAAAGGACTAGGGGACAAAGGACTAGGAGGAGGACAAGGACAGGAGGGAGGACACAAGGACTAGGAGGGGACACAGAGTGATTTGGGGAGGGCACAAAGGACTAAGGAGGCGGACACAAAGGACTAAGGAGGGGGACACAAAGGACTAAGGAGGGACTACGAACGGGGACACAAAGGACTAGGGGGTGGGGGGAACACAAATGACTAGGACTAAGGAGGGGGACCCAAAGGACTAGGACTAGGGAGGGGGACACAACGAATTTTAGAATTAAAAATTTTGGAATCAGTAATTTAACCAATTCTAAGACACTTTTTTTCTCTAGTGTATTTTAATCGATAAAATTACCAACAATATTACTTGTTTAAAGTGGGCAGGGCTTTGAAGTAGAGGGAAAATGTGGAAAACAAAAACACTAAACAAACTTCCGAAAACCTGACCTAACGCTTCTTAATCTTTAAAAATCCGTAAGCTATACAAAAAAGTTTACCTTATTCGTGTTTTCGGTATTCAGCAGGTGATAATGTTGTTTTCGATGTTCAGATGAGGGATCCATAAATTCTAAAAGTAATTCTTAACATTATAACTAAGTTAGAAAACGCAAGTGTTGCCGTGTCATACACCTGCCGTCTTCTATGTGGAGTAAAATTGAACGGGAACTTTAATATTCCGAAAAGCAGACCGCACTCAGCAGCAGCAATGCAGAGAAAAACAACATTCCGTATGGATTTTGTTTTACCAATGGCATCGACATTGTCTAGAAAGTTGTGTATCATTACTGAAGTCAGTAATAAAGCAAATATGAAATCATACAGTGATAATGTTTTACATATCAATATACAGTAAGTATAGTACGAAAGGTGGAGCTTTCAAGTTACCTCCACAACGGCGTTATACAACTCTAGTGACGTAGTTTGTAAACTCTTGTACCACTCGCAGTTCACTTTTTGTCAGGTAAAGAACCAAATAATTGTCTAAATATAGCCATGATGAACTTCAATACATGCCATTATTATTATTAAATTCGAGTATAACCCCATATTGTAATAGGCGTTTCGTACCTGAACTGGCTGTCAAGAGTGGGTGACGACCCCAAAAAGACCAGGTGCTCTCTCTGCAAGTCTGTGTTTACTGCATCAAGTGACACAAAACATCAAGACTGCACAGCTCACAGGTGATGACAAGAAGTCCTGGCCCCAGCACAGCTCAAGGTAGCCAGCGAGGGCCGAGATACAACTAGCCGATTTTTTTTTACAAAACATGACAATTAAAATTTAATACAGCTGACCCTCTTGTACAGTTAGGCAAATGTATTTTTACCGATTTGCATATTCTAAAAAGGTCCACTCTTAAAAATACAAAAGGTATAACAAATAATAAGAGTACATAGGGAATTACAGGAAATATGGCCTTAATGATTAGTTACATCAACATAAGATTTCCATTACATTATTAGAGACGAAACAACTCATATAAGCACAACCAAGAGCTGGGATATCTTATCAAGGTTCTACGATCCAGTGGCAAAACACCGACCACCCAAGTGGCTAACGAGCGAAGGGGAGAAGCCGTGTGATAACAATGATCCGTAACTAATTCTAGGATTTTATTTATATATCCACATCCAAATTTTGGTTAATAACTATCTTAATAGCAGTATTATCTGTCCGAACTATGACATTCACAATTCCTGGACACACGGAGGATAGCACAAGCTACCGTTTCCCCCCTTCCTGGACCCTACAGTACAACACAACACTTTTATCAACATACCTGCACTCAACTGCTAATAATCACAATGTAGAGTCCTGGAAGCCCTTACGGAGCCACAGACACCCAGTGTAGCGGACCAGTTCAGAAGTTGCCCCGAAGTAGCCGAAACGATTACTGCGCATGCGCACTTGATGACGTCACAGCCGCCCCTCGGTAACTCAAAGACACTCTACTCAAGAGAGGAAACTGCCGCTGAGATATATGAAATGTGCGTACGAATAGTTGCCAGGTACCTCAATAATAGCTCTATCTATTGGCTGCGTTCAAAAGCTTTTCGTGACGTCATAGATGTTGATGTGACGTCATGGGTGATATTTTTAGGTTTTCCTTTTATTTTTAGGCTATCAATCTTCATTTATGTCTGCATGTATGTATACATATAAAGAGAGAATGAAAATCCTTCTGTTTAATTTTCACTGACTCCATTGCCTCAAAATCTTAGATGAGTTCAGAAATTAAAAGAACATTTTTTATCTTGCACAATTATCATACAATTACTGCAAGTGATGAATCACCTGTCATGATGTTACATAAATTTTGGGGTTAAATGACCTTGTTTTCAATAGAGTTCTTGACTATTAAAAGACATTCTTTTTGCTTATCTTTACTGAAATAAAGAAACACAAAACCAAAAATTCAAGTTGTGTTATCGTTATGTCTCGCACTGAGGATGGGTTGGAGAAAGGAAACTCTTTATGGCGGTTTTCTTATATAAATATATTGTATGTACAGTGCAGTTTGGTGCTGGGAAGTTGCTGCGTGGTAGAGGAGCTCTTTTAGAGGAGGTTGTAGTGTACTGTATGTGGCCAGTTGTCAATTCTCTTTAGTTGTCTATTATCTCTTTGTATGGGCTCACATACGTACGTACATGTAGATACCTTCACTCAGGAATGAGGTTGGATAGAAACTCACGATGCGCTTCCTGTATATATATTGTTGTACAGCGCAGTGCTTAGGAGTGACTAGGTGAGGAGCTGAGAGAGATGTTGCTGGTCCAGTAGCTGAGTGTAGGATGTCCTCCCTGGGCAGGCGTGGCCGTATTTATACAATTTACCAGGATCAGGATCTGGGGTGCGCGTAGCGAGGTGACCAATCACAGCGGCTCCAGCGTAAGGTGTTGTAGTGGCTACTCTCCCCTACAACTTCCAACTGAGCTCCGGCCGCACTCCGACCAGCCAATCAGCGTACAGCCAGCTACGCCGAGAGACTAGGTCTATGCAGAGGACGTAGGGGTACGATCGCCGACCTAGTCTCGACCATCAACCTCCAGTTCAGGATCAGAGCATTTCACACTGTAGTGGAATTCTCCCCTACAAACGCTGTTTGTCGCTGCCTAGCCGACCCCACCAATTCCCCAGTGTATGCCTCGTGGTCTAGGTCAACCAGCGCCGCCTTACACCACGGAGCGGGG